GGGGAGTATGGTATGTGTGGTGAGTGTATGTATAGTGTGTGTATATGTGGTGTGTGTGTGTATATACAATAACACCATACATGTGAAGGCAGAGGCTGGAGGACCACCAAAAGTTCAAAGCCAGCCTGTTCTAAATAGTTCTAGGCCAGCAAAGGAGATGACTCAACACGGTAAGACTCTGTCTCAAGCAACAACAAACAAAGTCGTAAGAAACACAGCAGGTTCCAGTCTGGCCTGAGTTACAGAGTTAAATCTTGTCTCAAAAAGCAAAACAAAACAAACAAACGGGACTGGGGACATGGCTCAGTAAATAGTTTGCTACACAACCATAAGGCGGTGAGTCTGAATCCCCAGTCCCCACTCACGTCAAGCTGGGCTGGTAGCGTGTGTGAGCAGCCCCAGCACCGTGGGGTTGTGTGACACCATTCCTGGGGAAATATGCAGAACTGTCTAACCACCCTGGGCAGAGACCCAGTGACAGAAAAGTGAGCAATTGGGGTCACTTAACAGGAGCAGGGGTGACTCAAAGACAGTTGTGTCACCAAAAGCCACCTTGGCATGGGTGATGGTTTCCAAAAGCTGGAGCCCTGGAGCACACTGCACAGCCCCCAGGCCGCTCAACAGGTCAGGAGCCTCCTCTCCTTAGCACTCCTTACTGATTGTATAACTTTGGGGACTGAGGGGAGTCTTGTGCAGTTGGTCAGTTTCAGGGACTTCCTGAGACTTGTGAATTGCTTATTTCCTGAGTCCTGACAAGCCTGGAGCTTTCCTCTCTAGGATGGAATGCTTTAACTGGGGGGAAACTGCTACACAACAGGCAGAGCTCGGGTGGACGGCCGGTGCTTGCTGGGCAGAGAGCCGGGAGCATGTCTGTTTAGGTTTTTTTATTGCTGTGAAGAGTGACCACGGCAACTCTTTAAATAAAACATTAATTGAGGTGGTGGCTTACAGTTTCAGAAGTTCAGTCCATTATCATTATGAGGGGCAGCATGGCATTGTGCAGGCAGACAGGGAGCTAACTACATCTTGACCAGGAGGAGCAGGAAGACAAGTGCCTGTCATACTGACCTCAAAGCCCGCCCCCACAGTGACCCACTTTTCCAACAAGGCCATGCCCCCTAATAGCGCTGCTCCCTCTGGGGACCATTTTCTTTCAAACCACCACAATGACTAAGGAAGATATTAACCTCAGCTTCTGGCTCTACATATGTGTGTGCGCATGTGCACGCGCACACACACACACACACACACACAAAAAAAAAACACAAGAGCCATGCGTGGTAGCACACATGTGTAACCTTAGCACATGGGAGGTGGAGGCAGGAGGATCAGGAGTTCAGCCAGCTTTGGCTACATGGTAGATTCAAGGCCAGCCTGGGCTACATGAGATACTAAAAAAGCCCAAAATAAAAAAGTGTCTATAGGGTATCCAAAAGGGTGATCAATTATGGATTTTTTTGTTTGTTTGTTTTTTTGAGACAGGGTTTCTCTGTGAAGCTTTCTTTGCACCTTTCCTTCATCTCGAGACCAGGCTGGCCTCGAACTCACAGAGATTCCCCCTGCCTCTGCCTCCTGAATGCTGAGATTAAAGGTGTGTGCCACCGCCTGGCCAATTATGTATTTTTAAAATACATTAGTATTGTTAATATTAGTAAGGGGACGTATCACAGTGGTGGTCAGAGAGACCTTCTGGAGTCTCTTCTGTCCTTCCCCTGTGCATTCCAGGGATCCAGTCCAGGCAGTCAGACGATGCCAAGCACTTTTGCCTACTGCCTGTTAGGCACCAGTCACCTGCCATCTGCCCCTTCCTGCCTCCTCTGGAAGTTCCACCCTCTGTGGAAACTGACAGTGACAGGTGTTGGCTGTGCTGCCTCTGGGAGCCGAGATGATCTAAGTATGGAAACCATGCCAGACTTTTGAATTAGGAGTGAATACTGCAGCGGAAGCCAGCTTTGGCTAGGCTTTCCAGCCATGGCAGCTGGAAGCAGATCCTATTTTCTAAAGATGGAGGAATCCATCTATAGTCGGATCTTGACATCCCCTCTATGAATGAGGAAGAGGGAATAGTTCAGCAGTAAGGCCCTGCTTAGAATTTCCTAGTGAGGGGCTGGGGTGTGGCTCAGTGGTAGAGCCCCTACCTAGAATCCCCCAGTGAGGGGCTGGGGTGTGGCTCAGTGGTAGAGCCCCTGCCTAGAATCCCCCATTGAGGGGCTGGGACAGGTTGCTCAATGATAGAGTACTTGTTTAGGAAGCCAGAGGCCTTGGGTTCCATCCTAGCTGACAAGACAAACAAGGAAGAACAGAAGAACGGAAAGGTGAAAAGAAAAGCGGGGTCTTTATTTCTTCCCCTCGGATCTGAGCACTCTGGTACATAACCAACAGGGGGTACTAGAAGCAGGACCACTCACCACCACGAGGGCACACAGGCCACACAACTTCTGCCAGGATCGTTGGCATAGTCATTTCTCCATATCTGAGAGCTTGGTTCTTTATTTTTTGTTGATAGTCTTGCAATGTAGCCTAGGCTGGCCTTGAACTTGGGATTGTCCTGACTCCGACTCCTGAGTGCTGGGATTATAGCTGTGAATCACCCTGTCTGTCTCTCCAGGAACTTTTGGTTTTTTTCTTTTCTTTTCTTCTCCTCTCTTTTCTTCTCTCTTTTCTTTTCTTTGGGTAGGACTAGGATGGAGCCCAGGACCTCATGCATGCATAGAGAACACTCTACAACTTAGCCATGTCCCACCCCTCCCTGGGTGTCTCAGTTACGGTTTCTATTGTTGTAATGAAATACCATAACCATAACCAAGAACAATTTAGGGAGGAAGGGGTTTATGTGGGTTACACTTCCACTGTTCATCACTGAAGGAAGTCAGGACAGGAACTCAAGCAGAGCTGGAACCTGGAGGCAGGAGCTGATGCAGAGGCCATAAAAGCAAGCCAGTAAGTAGAGGGGAGCTGCTCACTGGCCAGCTTTCATGGCTTACTCAGCTTGCTTTCTTACAGAACAGAGAACCACCAGCCTAGGGACGGCACCACCCACAATGGCTGGGCCCTCCCCCATCAATCACTGATTAGAATATGAAAATGCCTAGCAGCACAGTGTTGGTGCAATTCCAGCCCTCAGGAAGCAGAGGAAGGCAGATCTCCGAGTTTGAGGCTGGTCTACAGAGCGAGTTCCAGGACAGTAGGAGCTACACAGAGGAACCCTGTCTCAAAGAACACTCCCCCCACCACACAAAAAACAAAACAAAACAAAACAAAACAAAACAAAACAAAAAAAAAAACACACACACACGAAGAAAAGAAAAAAGAAAGAAAAGAAAAGAAAAAGAAAATGCACTACAGGCTTGATCTTGGATCTTGTGGAGGTATTTTCTCAGTTGAGGGTCCCTCTTCTCAAATAACTCTAGCCTATGTTAAATTGACATGAAACTAGCCAGCACACTGGGGGATTCTAGGCAGGGGCTCCACCACTGAGCCACACCTCCAGCCCCTCACTGGGGGATTCTAGGCAGGGGCTCTACCACTGAGCCACACCCCAGCCCCTCACTGGGGGATTCTAGGCAGGGGCTCTACCACTG